AATTGATAAATACTGCAATGATACATATAAGAAGTTATTAAAGATATATGATTGGTTCAAATTCCCAGCTTCCATTCAAAAAGTATAAGCTCATGCTAGGGAAATTATTATTAATTTACCAGTTCCACTTGATTTAATGGGAGAGGAAGCAGTTGAATCTCAACACAGAATTTATAAATTTGATTGTGAACATCATGCAAGAAAAAAAAGTAGAGAAACAAACTTACTTGACATTTTCATTCTAGGTATACATACTTCCGATCCCCTAATTAGTTCAATCTCATTAACTAAAAGATTGAAAAGTAAGAAAATATTGTGCCTACTGGAAAAAGTTAAAAGTTTGTTAGCAGTTTATAGCGACGATAAAGAAAAAGATTCATCTGAATTGGAATTAGATGAAATTAATAACTTAGGTGAATTATGTTTAAATGTTGATAACGTTGATGAAAATCTAGAATTAGATATAGAGGTAGAAGAATAAAGTTCTAAACTGTATCATCTCTATAATGTATAACTTTATATTTATTTGTCTACTATATAAATTTATTAAGTATTTAATAAAATATTTAAAAAATTGCAATGATTCAGTTCAAATTATTAGAGTTTGGACACAAGATTATTCCAAAAGTTTATTTATTTGTTTTTTTTTTTTATTATTAGTTTTATTATTTGTTGTTAATTGAAAATTAAAATAACAGACTTTAATTCTCATTATTTAATCTGTTAAAGTTCGAAAGATATAACTGTAGTAACTATAATAAAGTTTTCACCATCCCCAAAATGAGGGGCTTGTAAACTTTATATGATCATAACTTTCAGAAAATAAAAGATGATCCAATGAAAGCAAAAACCTGTCAATAAATTTGAGTTTAGTATAAGATAGCATCAAAAATCTGTTTTTAGACTCATTGCCCTCATATTTGGGGTGAAGCGGGGCTAACTTTTTGGGGTATTTTTGATCCCGGACTTGAATCACTACAATTTTTTTTGCAAATCAATATATTTTGAATCAAGTATGAACATTTGGTGCATTGAAAAATTATCCATTATTTAAACAATGTCTAAAAGTATTAAATATAAAAAAATCCAACTGGTGCCCCAGTGCTCAAGTAGATTCCCCTTCCTTTTCAATTAAATTTTAAAAAAATAATAATAATATATAACAAATAACAACATAACTTTAAAAAACAACAGTTTTAGTTAATATGCACTAAACTACAAAAAACTTTGAAAAAAAAAATTTCAACAATACTATTCAAACCTTTGCTGCTTACTTCACAAAATATTTTTAGTGCTAAACTAACTAATTTTACATTGTTATTTTTTTTTTTAGTGAAAATTAAATTTTCACTAAAAATGAGTTATGCTTATTTTGTGAAGTATTTGGTGTTTCACTAACAACGAGTTATGTGAATTTTAATGAAAATTTTGTTTGTTCTAGCTTTATTACAAACTTATTATAACCATAGCAATTAAATCAAAAATAATTTAAGAAAAACTATATACTCACAACAACAACAAAAAAACAAGGTCGGCAAAAAATGCCAATTTTAGTCATTATCATTTCCGTATTGTCAAATGCTGGCCCTAATTTCTAGGGTTGTTATAATCAAAACATTTTAAGACAATATCCAACACTATTATTGTCTTCAATCATTTTGTCATATTCTCTAATATAATATGTTTCACTTCCTGCAGCATTTTCGAGCCAACCACAAATCTTTTTGAATGTATCGGTCATGATAGGATCTTCTGATCTTCCCCTACCACTTTTCCACTTTTTGTTCAGCCTGAAATCAGCCATGCGTGACTGATTTCAGGCTGAACAAAATGTGGAAAAGTGTTAGGGGAATTATGATTCACTGCTTCTTCTGCAACTAAGTCATTTAATGTTTCCAATCTTGTAAGTATTGCTTCGCCCCATATATCATGTTTTGCCTTCGCACACTTGATAATAGTGATGTGTAATGGTAGCATTTGCACTTGTTGGAACCTCTCTTTATGTTGCATAATAGGCTTTGAGCAAATAAAACAACAAACTTTCCAGATAAAAGCAGTTTCAATTGTGACCTTTTAGGTTTTGGTACAACAGGCTTTTTCCAAAAATCTGTCATCCTCCTCTGGCATTTATAATGAAAATTCACTGGATCTTATCTATCTCGGTGGTCCTTTAGCATTTGAGTTAGATTAGTTTCCTTTTTTTTTTTTGTAGATGATGTTTCCAATAAGGTTCTCAAGCCTTTTTCACCGACCAAATTCATTTGCCCATTATCACTTCCACAAACAGTACATTGCATAGATATCATTTTTAAATTAAATCCTAATGGAAAAAAATTAAGAAATAAAGAAAAGGTTTTAAAGAATAACTTTAATACTGCAGTTAGAAAAAAATAAATTTATCTCAAAACCTTTATATAAAGAAACTAATAACAGAGTGAACACTATTATTAGGGTAGTTAGAGCGTTTTCTAGAGTTTTGAAAAATTGGAACCACTTATTTAGCACTTTTGAAAAATTTAGCAAAAATTGAAGAGAGTTCTGGAGAACACTTTATTTAGACTATGATGGAAATCTATTCTGGAGCACAAACTGTAGAAGAGTTTAATTGAGAATCAACTTTAGCATTGAAAGCCAGAGTGATTTGGATGTTTAACTATGGGTTAATCTGTTTAACTGGCAGAATGAGTATGGCTATTATATTCAAGAGTCAAGTTAGGGTAAGATTTCTTTGCAAATAACTCTGCTTTATTCTAAGGAGAAGTAAAAAGATCACACCCATGAATTAGTGATTAAATGTTAGACTTACTTTAGTTAATGACACTGTTGAAGACTAACTAAAAAGACTCTAGAACTTAACATCTGAGATACATGGTTTAGTAAACTGAGAATATAAGAGCTTAACATCAGACAAGAACTACGTATATTGGCTTCTACTGGAATAATTAAAGAACATTTGTTCTTATGATAGATTTTCTTGTAAAAAAGATGACAAAAACGGGTAATGTTTAATAAAGCAAAGAGAAGGAATAAAAGCTTTCAAACTTTTATTTCAGAAGGAATAAAAGCTTCCGAGATGCGCCTTATGGATACATATTATGGATATAAACATATATGTTTGCTATTTATTTAGATGCTGGCATGCAATATTCTTACATATTTATATAAACTTAAGTGTTTATATGGTGACGTATTTGCCGAGAAGATGATCAGATGATGATCATGATCATGATAATGATGGTAATGATGATTATAATGATCATGTTGATCATAATGATGTTCATATATGCATATATGTAAAAAATATAACATGAATTCTGAATTTAAAAATATACTTTAGGATGTATAACTGTTTATGCAGCCCGGGTCACAAACCTGGCCCCTGGCTTGGCCCAGGCATATTTTATCAAATCCTGGCTATATTTTATCAAACCTGGCCCCAGTCAAATATCAAACCCGGTTGCTTACTAACAGTAGATGGTGATCCATCTAGTAAAGTTTATACAAATTGGATATAGATTTAGTTGGATATAGATTTATCTCTAGAACTATGTTAAAAATTAGTAAGTGAAATAATATCACTTGAAATTTAAAATTTAAAATTTTTCTTAGCATAGAAAGGATTTTAAGGTCATGAGAAATAATAGTATATAATTTGATTCTTACTTTCATAAATATTGTGAATACCGTGATTAGATGAAAACTATTTGCATATTTTTCTATTTGCATATTTTTCTATTTGCATATTTTTCTACACACTACCATTTGTCGTACATCAGAAAAACATGTTTCTAAAGACTAAATTAAAATTTTAAGGTTAAAAAGTTTCTTAAAATCAATTAAAATGCAATGTCTTCTTAAAATCAACCTTCAGTGTTTTCAAATTTGTCGTTATTTTTTTAAGCTAGATTTTCATACCATTTTTATTACTAATTATTAATTAATTATTATTTGAATTTATAGAATTTATTTGTTAACCAGTAACCCTTTCGTTTAAAGACCATAGTGTTATTTATGAGTTGTTAAGAGTTGTTATTAAACAATTTTAAAAAGTTTTAAAACAATTTTTAAGAGTTGTTATTAAACAATTTTAAAAAAATTCAAAAGTTTCAGCTTTATAAAAATTTTTCACACAAACAGTAGTTTTTGAGTTTGACTCCTGGACTAAGAGTTTCAACCTGGCTGTTGAATTTGGGATCAGTGAAATTGAATTTATTATAAATTTTCATTTATAAATTTATCATTGAAAATATATATTTCACAGTGTAAAATCAAATAAAGATATAAAGATAAAAATAATTTTTTTTTAAATCAAGTTAAAATTATTGTGTAGGAAATTTTTTATCTACTTGCGGTAGTGGTGTAGTGGTAGAGCGCTTGCTTCATACGCGAGAGTTTCCGAGTTTGATCGCCACTACGTCCCTGGTAGTACCGCGGTCAACTTGTTTCACCGCATAGCGGCCTTGTTCGTCAAGGTTCGTGTTTCGGAGGTATAGAGTTGAGAGAGGGTTTTAACCACAATTGTGTAGCCTCCTCGTCTGTAGTGGTCTTCTCGGCCTTGGGGAGATGAGTTTACATTAAAAAAAAAACTTAGTGACAAACTGCTAAAAAATATCAAATAAATTAGTATATTTTTTTCTTTATTTTTTAAACTAAAAATAAGTAATCATGAGAAGAGTGTAGATTAAACGCTTTAATTTTTTAATAAATCAAAAAATAATTATTTTGAATTTTTTAAATTGATAAAATAAAATTATTATCTTTATACTTAATTTATAATACTAGTTATAGAAGCAAAATTATGAAGATGCTGAATATTATTCATAGAAGCATTTTCAAAATAATGAAATTTTTTTATAATATTATTTATAGAAGTAGTTTTGAAATTATAAAAAAAAATTTATAGTACTATTTATAAAAGCGGTTTGAAAATTATAAATTTTTTTATAATAATTATAGAAGCAGTTTCGAAATTATAAATTTTTTTTATACATTATTTATAGAAGCAGCTTCAAAATTACGAAGATGCTGGTGATGAAATTATGTTAAATGATGATGAATCAGTATCGTATCTTTTATTATTAAAAATGAATATATATGTATCAGTAAATCTGGATTTAGCATCGAACCTCATACTATAAGTTATTAAAACTATAAGTTAAGGCAGGGAGTTTCTACATATAAAAATTATTTATAATGGGAAACATTATTGTTTGTTTGTTTTTATTATTATTATTATTCTTTTTCATTTACATTTTAAAAATTATAGTGTGTAGAATACTAGTACAATATATGTGTACATTTTGAGAACTTGTCAATACAATGCTGTACATGTGTACATTAGAGCTTAGTGTCAAACTGCTTTATTTTCAACTAAATTTCCAAAAATTAAAATGTCAAAAAAAGAAATTTATACTTGGATTTTTTTTTCACTACCTAAGTTTGGCAAATACGTAGTAACAGCCCAAGCTTCCTTAATTTTTTAAATTTTAATTGGGGTTTTAAAGGTCTTTGACACATGGTTTGTTTCCATGTTTTTTATCATGTGTATGAAATACTATTAAATTGACACAGCATTACTAATTTTTTTTTAATTTTCAAAAAAATTTTTAATTTAAAATTAATTTAAAAAATAGAATTCTTTTAAGTGAAAACACTACCTACTCACATTCTAAACTTTTAATTGAGATGTACACTTTTTCGGGCCTATTAGTTAAGATGTACACTTCGGGACTATTTCAGTATGGCTTTATTAACAAAGATTCTAACACTAATCCATCATTATTGCATACATGTAATCTTTTATCTTTTTTTATATATTTTTTAATCCTCTTAAATTAAATATCAAATTAAAATCTAATTCTTTAACGGTATTAAGTGTTTATATAGGAGAAACTTTTTTCAAAATGTCAAAGGATGAGGCGCAGGCGTTTATAGATGAAGGTAAAGAATCTATTGAAAAAGAAATAAAGATACTTGCAGAGAAAGCTGAAGCATATGCAATGGAGTTGAAAGATCTAAAAATTAAACTTTATGCTAAATTTGGTACTAACATTAATTTGGAGGAAGAGGAAGACTCTTAGAGGAAGATTCAGAGGATTCTTAATTGAATAAATTTCAAGCAGGAGGAAGAATACAGAAGAAGCTGAAGAAGTTTTTCTTGTGAAAAATTCAGTTTAAGGGATTTTTTCTTAATTTCTTTCATAAACACTTTTAACTAAGTGAAAAATATTACATAATTTGTTTTTTCTTTTTACTTAATTAACTTTTAGATCTTCTGGTATGTAGAAATGTTTACAATATTTTGTTTTATATATATATATATTCTAGAAAATCTAGAATATTTTTATAAGAAATGTGTAAAGACATATTGTAAAAGCTGTCTTCACACAATTTTATAAGGTAATATATAAATATGGAGTTGGTACCGTCTTTTAATTACACATTTTATGTGTAACACCATGTAACTGGCACACTTTTTGTGCAACATCATGTAACTGGTATACATAATAGTGACAATACTTATCGTATACATAATAGTGACACGTTATTACTTTACGCTATTTATCTCCTATTTCTTTTTAAAAACGATTATATTTTTATATTATTAAGCCGTGGGAATTACTATATAATACGAATGTATACCTTAAAGTATGCATAAGGGTAATTAAAATTCTATTCTGATTAAGTATTAAGCTATTTAGTATTCCATGTTATTTACTGGTTAAAATAGTTAATTTTGGTTGAAATTAAATTATTCTTTAAAGACCCTTGATTATTATCAATGTGCCAAAATAACCCCTGAAATGTAGAGGTATTTTCAACGCAATATCAAAGCTATTAATCATTTTATTGCAAACTTGTCAAAGAAAGTTTTTGATTAAGATTTAAAAGTTATTTTAATCGTTTTTTTATACTTTAATCCATTCTTTAAAAATTCAAAAAAAAAAAAGACTTATTTTATGTACATAACTGGGGAACACACAGCGGGAACTCTGGCATTAAAAATTCAAGTTTTTTTATTTTTATTAAACTTAGTGACGCAATCTATTGCATGTAGATTAAAGACACATATGAGACAACGGATAAGATAACGGAAAAAACACGTATGAGATAACGGGTAACCTCTTCTCAATTTAGTATATTTTTTGCAATTTAAAATTTATATCGAGTAGAAAAAAAAAAAAGTTTTTCACCAATTCTCTTTTTTATCCTATTAAAAGGAGGTAGCATATTGTGTAGCAAATGATGTTTACACAATATTTGTTAAATGTTGTGTACCAGCTGACTGGCAAAGCTGCATTTCTTTTCTATTAAAAAGTTTCAAAAGAATTCTATTATGAACAAGCTTTCGCTGAACAATAAAAGTTTATAGTTTTATATTAAAGTTTTTTATAATCTAATTATGTTTTTTGAATCTTTTTAAAATTGCATTTAACTACTTTAAATGTTTTTTTTCAAAATTTGTCATTCAAAAAAATCTGTCAAGTTTTTCATTTTACTCTTATCCGCAATATAACGCGTAACAAAATGCCTTAATAACGCGTAATCAAGCTAATAACGCGTAACAAAATGTCTTAATAACGCGTAATCAAGCTAATAACTTTTTTTTTTTTTATTTAAATATTTTAAATAATTTTCTAAGCATAAAGAGCACTTTTTAAACGTTTTTTAAACTTTTTGAGTTAAAACATAAGATTGCTTTACTACAAGACTTTATGCGCAGATAAGACGTTGACTATGAAACAATGACAATCATAGTTTTATATATTCGGTTAGAGGTTAATCAAATATTTGGTTTAATAAAAAGAGTTGCATTTAAGCTAATATTTAAAAAGACCATCCAAAAGAAATTTTATCAAATTAGTAATAATAAAAACCCTATTTATCTGTTTTTATTTTTTTTTTAAATCAAAGGTTATTGAAGTCGTTATAAGAATGTATTGAAATAAACTTAAAAAATATAATAAATCAACTATATTGTAAAAGTAAAATATTTTAGACATAAATATAAATAAAAATATGATGATAAAATAGAAATTGTACTACAATTTTTGTTATATTTCAAACAAATAAAAGGGAGAAAAGATGATTGTTTGCATATTTGTTTATGTTCATTACTACATTTTATCAAAAGTATATATTCTAACTAATTTTTTGTATTTTAATTTCTTTTTACTTTCGATTATGTATTACTTATGCTCAAGTTCGATTTCAAGTTCAAAGTTTAATTTCAGGACATATGAGGAAAGTTTTAGTTTTTTTTAATCATTAAATTTATGGCTCATTTGAATTATGGACTAAACAGTAAACAGTTACGATATGCTAATCATATAATTGATTTAGTTGCTAACGTATTGCAAGTTCCTAAAAAAATGACTAAACTTCTTGATCACCTGTATCTTGGAGCAATTAATGATGCAATGGACGTTGATCATCTTAAGGAGGCAGGAATCACTCATATTATTAATACCGTTCATAATATGGATGGCGAAAACGAAACAGGAGCAGAATTTTACGGCGATGAGTTTATTTATATGGGCTTCTTTTCTGAAGACAGGGAAGATTACCCCATATTAGAAAACTTTGAAAAAGTTCAAAACTTTATTAACTCAGCACGAGATCAAAATGGAAAATGTCTCATTCATTGCATGGCTGGAATTAACAGAAGTGGTTGCTTAGCAACTGCGTATTACATGGTTGAAAAAGATATTGGACCTATAACAGCTGTTAGCGAAGTCTTTAAAAAGAGGGGTGTGTTATTAACAAACAAGAGTTTTATTAAGCAACTTGTAAAATTTTCTGTTGATCGTAAATTGTTAAAAAAAGATAAACACTTACTTCCTCATAATTCAATAAACAATTGTTCGATATAGGTTTTTCAATTTTAGAACAACATTTTACATCATTTGTTGACAAAAACAATATTAATTGTCAAAAAGATTTTCCTTTATGGCAAATACGAAATTTTAAAAGTTTTAATTTTTTAAAGTTAATTTTTTATCTAGTTTTTTTAAATTTTTTTTTTTTCAATGAATTGCCCTGTGTATTATATTGCGTATTTATATAAATAAAAACTGCAAATGTCTTTTGTTGTTTTCGCTTTTTTCAGAAGAGAAGATTATTAAAGGTGTAGGAAACATTAAATTTTTGTATATTTAGTGACTCACCTTTGGCTTTGCTACTTATATGGCTTGTTTGCTCACGTCATTTTAACATATAAATGTTTTCTTCAAAATAATGGGTGTTCAATTGAAATCTGGATAAAGCTTCAATCACTATATAACATACTTATAAAAAGCTTAAATGTACAGGTAGGTACACCTTAAAAACACAAAAACCTTAAAAACTACAAAGTCATAATTTATGTTCTTGTCAAGCACTGTATGAGCTTTAACGCATAATATTATTTGTTTTGAGACTCCATATAAATACTCTCTACAAAAAAATACAAGTTTGACTATTTTCTTATTGATAATATGCGAAAAAAGCAATAAAAACAAAAATAAATTAAGCAAATAAAAAATAGATTAATTTTAAACTAAAAAAACACAGTTTTTTGCATGGGTAAGCATCAATTTGATTGCAATTCCTTTTTTTTTTAGATAACTATATTGTTGCTACAAATAAAAATAAAAAAGTTTTCACAATATCCTTCTCTGATTGATAAAATAAGCTTTTTACTAGCAGTAGAGACGCTTGTAGTTTTTAAGGGGTACAAAAAGTAATACAAACATTGAGACACAAAGTCAAAATTTCTTTCCAGAATCAAAAAGTTACATTTCAAATCATCATTAAACATTTCCCCAATTGGTGTTATCGCTTTCCACGTTACTTAAATTGTCTTTATATTTAGCGTTTGTTTTAATTGATGTGGCTAGTTTAATCATTAATGGCTTCATTCCATCAACTCGACAAGAAATTTTGCTGCATACTGATTTCTTTATCTCGTGGCAGACTGGGCACTCTTTAAAACCCTTTACTGCTCAAATGCCATTGCAAGCACATTTTAATTTACACTTATAAAATTGTTCTTTATCTTTATCTTTTTCTTGCTTTTTTTTCTCCTTTTGATCTTTTTTTTTCCTTTTTCTAATTTCAATCAACTCAACCTGTTCAATGATGTTTTGGGCTTCCATTGACCCATGTATGTTTCTGACACGTATATTTTTTGTTTTATTCATGTCTTTTGGTTTTACCTTGTTTATTGTAAGCAAACCTGGTATATCTTCTAGAATTAAACTTTTTTCATAACTTTCTTTCATAATCATCTGCGACTGCTCGAACATAAATTTCCAATAATTAGCTGATCCATAACAATGATTTGTTTTTGCAAATTCGGGAAATAAATGTGGAGTAATTGTTGTTAACAAAACATTTGCTGATGAACGCGTGCATATTTTCTTTGGTGTACCTGGACTGCTAGAAGGTTCTTGCTCTTGATTTTGAACCATACAGTTTGCAGCCTAACTTTGTAGAGTATACTGATACTTTTTGATTTTTTGTTATTTAATGTTTTTATATGGGCTTTCCAAGTAATCTTTTCGTCAATAATTATCCAAATAAATCTACTTCTACAACCACTTCTGTTAAAATCCAGCCATGCAATGAATAAGACATTTTCCATTTTGATCTCGTGCTGAGTTAATAAAGTTTTGAACTTTTTCAAAGTTTTCTAATATGGGGTAATTTTCCCTGTTTCAGTTCTTTTGATGATTATGTTATCTATTTTTAGTAATTATAGCATGCCTGGTATTTTATTTTTTCTCTGGTTGGAATGAAACAAGATGTATTTTGTTTTTTCTTTATTTAAAGATAATTTATATACTTTAAACCAAATTTTTAAATTCTCATGGTCATCGTTCACAGATTCAAAGAGATTTTCAATTGATGCTGATGAATAAAACAAATTTGTGTCATCAGCAAACATTATTGCATTGTTCGTTAATATAAATTAAAAATAAAAGAGGACAAAGAATGGAGCCTTGGGGAACTCTGCTTTTTATTGTTAGTAAATTCGTTTCTCCGCGCAGCGGCCATGTTCGGCAAGCTTTTAAAACAATCTAGGGTAGTTTTTTTATTCCGTATTTTTCAATTTTTTTAGTAAGATAGGTTTCTAAAAGTTTCTAATTCAAATTGCTTTTTATTAAAATAATCACTTATGCTATAAACTAAATTTAAAATTACATGTTTTGTTAAGTGCTGTGATTGAAAGTCGAATTGCTTTTCATTTAATAATTTGTTTTAAATTATGTATTCATATAATCTAATGTAGATTATTCGTTCTAGTATTTTAGAAAAAGTTAGAAGTATTGAGCTTGGTCTGTAATGTTTATTAGAAATGCTTCACCGGTTTTAAAAATAGATACAATTTTAGCTACTTTTAATTTATTTGGTACAGTTCCAGTTTTAATTGATTTGAATAATTCGAAAATAGGTTTGCGTATCTCCAAAAAGACATTAACAACAATGTTACTGCAAATATCATCTATACCTGGAGACTTGTTTATTTTAAGAGTTTATTGCATTTTCGAGTTCATCAATTTTTAGTTCATTAAATATTCGCTGTTTGCTCTAGTTAGATTTTAATGAATTGTTTGGACAAATGACTTTTGAAACCAGATTTGGGCAAATGCACAATGGGCCAAAATCATTATTAGCTGGACAAAAGTAATAACTTTTAAAATATTAATCAGATTTTCCCCATAATTGCCAGGTTGAGTATATTTTATACTACGAATTTAATGGTACCATTAGATTGTTTATTTAGTTGCTATGAATACCTATATTCCATAGCAACAGTGTATTTTGCATAGTTACCTAAGTTAAGAGACTTTCTTAAAATGTCAAATTTATAAACTAAACTGATATTATTGCTACGATGCTACTATATGTGTTTAAATGATAACACAAACAAAAATTAGTAATTTTTGGTGTTGCTATGCCGTTTTGGGCTCTTAGAAACCAGTTTTTATTTTTTTAATGAAACTTGCTTAATTCAAAATTTCTTTAATTCAAAAATAAAATTAAAACTTTGAAAACAATCTTACATCTAAGGGTTTATAGACACAGTTAATAAAATTCGAACTAATTGTATCTATGTAGTTACGTGTCCTTAGCAACCAAATAAAAATCAACAAATGTTAATAAGTTAGAGCTATTGAATACTTTATAAAGTGTATGTAAGAGTACAAGCAAATTTGTATATTCAAAAAAACTTTTATTTACATAACATGCATTATTTTATTATAAAATAATAAATACTAATAAAGTAAACAACACCTTAAATACCAACTAAAATCAAAACTATGCAATTGCAATTTATAGTTAGTCAAAAATTGGAACTTCTTTGAGTACATTTAGAATGCCAATTAGAAAAGCATTGCTTTTAGAATAATATGACTTTTTCAAACTTCTTATCAAAGGGTCAAAAGAATATATTAGTTGCCTTGATAAATCCTCTTTTTTTTTTGACCGCAAACACTTTTTGGAAAATGATTCACAAAACTTCTTTAAATTTTCATAAGAAGCTCAAAACTCCCTAAATAATGAAAAACTAGATAACAATGTACACAAAATAACATCTTTATCGTACTGACATCAAGTTCAAGAGTTAGAGCAAACTTTTCTGCATTCTAAAAAATTCTTCTAGCAGTGTTTCCATTATTTGATGACCGAGAGCCGCCAGATATTGGCATATAAACTACCAGTCAAACTTCGTCACAAAACTTTTTTTGAATTTTCTGTTTTCTACCTTGGATAATTTTCTTTTCAAATGTTATCCTTGTAGACCATTTTTTCACTGTTTATTTAACAGTGAAAAAGTGGTCTGCAAGACCACTTTTTCACGAACATTTTTGTATGCAGGATAGAGATACAACCTTTACTCACAGCATTATTTCTCAAGTATAAGTAGTCAGATTTGCTCATATTATTATCTAATATGTGTGCTAAAGCTTTTTTAGAGTATTTTGAGCATGTCCTGAATCAGAAGGCTACTTAACAGATAAACTTTAAATTACTTTCACATTAATTCTTCTGTCATCTTTAAAAAGATTACAACTACCAGCTTACTACAGTTCATTTAAATAACTAGTTAATAAGTGATAGCTGCTACTTTACAACTCTTTGTCTTATTTGATGAATTTTCAAATGATTTCACATGCTTACCACTAACTATAGATTTTGTTTTATTATTCTAATTTTTTGATGATTTAATAGTCTTTTTCTTAGGTTGGAGTTAGGAATGAGGTTACAATAAGCTTTTATCAACTCTTCAACTTAAAGACCAACGTTTACAATACTTTGACAAAAAAGTTACAAATTGAGCATCAAATTGAGAAAAGTATTCACAAATAAAAATGTGAACATCAAGTTTGTCTTTTCGATTAGACATAGAAAAACCATGCTGTCTTATGAATTGATGAACTTGATACTTGTACAGTATCGGACAAAACAAGTGCAACCAAATAATGCTAATTTAGTTTCTTTATATATAAAAGTGCTGCACTTTTTCAATTTAGAGAAATAACTATGTAACTGTTTAGAGACAACGTTCTTCAAGTTTTATTCATCACAAAGTTCATTATTTGTACACGAAAATTAATAACTTAATCAAAAGTATTAAAAAAAGTTGATTTCCTTCTGGACAAAACAAGTGCGACTCCACAAAATGTTGACCAAGCTGTATTTCACTATCAATATTTCGTGGCGAATCCTTTGTTGTCAATCACAGCCTTGCATCTTCGAGGCATAAATTCGATAAGGTGATCAATGAAACTTTGTGGAATTGCTGCCCAGGCCTTCTGGATTTGTTCAAACAGTTGATCCTTATTACGAACACCTTCACGATTAATTATGCGGTTGACGATCTCCCACAGGTTCTCGATAGGGTTGAGATTGAGGCGGCCAATCCATCACCGATAAGTGGTTGTCTTGAAACCACTGCTTGACTACTTTTTCAGTGTGTTTCGGATTGTTGTCTTGCTGAAAAACTCATTTATTTGGCATATTCCATTCAGCATGAGGTAACATAACACCTTTTAGAATATTTTTATACATGAAACGGTTCATTATTCCATCAATTCGATGTATTGGACCTAGACCATTAGCAGAAAAATACCCCCAGACCATTACATTACCTCCACCATGCTTCACCCCAGACCATTACATTACCTCCACCATGCTTCACCCCAGATCATTACATTACCTCCACCATGCTTCACGGTCTTATGGCAGTAACGTAAATCGAGGCGTTTTCCGGCCGGTCGACGTACACGGCAAATGCCATCGCTCCCAATGATGTTGAACTTCAATTCATCACTGAACAGGACAGTTCGCCATTTCTGCACATTCCAGTCAATATCAGATGCAGCAAACAGGAGTCTTTTCTTCTGGTTCTTTAGTAAAATCAGCGGTTTCTTTGCAGGGCGTCGAGAAAACAATCTGGCCTCAACAGCACGTCGTCTGATTGTTCGGTCCGATACAGGCAGTTCTAATTGCTTTTGTATCTCGACTGATGATATCCAGGGATCCTTCTTGACGGATCTGAAGATCAAAGAATCCTCTCTAGAAGTGGTAGAACGCAGTCTTTCACCTTTGTTATCTGCTGTTAGCTTCCCCTCAGAACGATATTTGGAACATAGTGCTAATACGGTCCATTTTTTCACGCAATGTTTATCACAAATACTTTTTTGTGACATTCCACTTACGTAATCGCCAAAAATTTTCTTTCTTAGTTCCAATTCAAGACTGTCGGGAGCCATTTTTGCACTTGAAGTCATAAAAATAAAAAAATAATCACGCTTCTCAAGGCTTACCAGGTTACATTTACCTTGTGATGATACAATAATGCTCTGTGGAACATAACGTCTTGGTTGGATGTGGACTGTATTGATGTAATGAAAAACTTGTTGTATTTCACTTCTTGTATTGATAAAACACTTTGATAAAACTCACTTCGATAAACTGTCTTGATAATACTGACTGATTGACTTCCATATACTGACTGATTGACTTCCATATACTGACTGAATTACATGTCGGTTTACATGTCTCTTATATAGTAAAATGAACCTGTGTGAACCTATTCTGGAAGATTCTAGATGTTTCTTTTCGATGTTTCTGGGTGCGTCTGGATACTTTTGAATGTTTCTGGATACTTCTGGATGCTTCTTCTGGAAACTTCCTTTAATTATTAAAAAACTTCCGTGACGTTGACACGGACTAGACTTAAGAAAATGAAACAAACCAAAAAAGTTGCACTTGTTTTGTCCGCTGCAAAATGGCACTTGTCAACGATATTCTGCCTGTGTGCTGTCCTGTCAGCTGATTGCTTATGTCATGGCATGCTATGACTCCAGGCTCCTCAACTGTTTGTTGTGGTAGTATAGTTCGTTTCGTTTTTAAGACAAAATTAGGAACACTTTTTAGCATTGTTCAATGTTGGTTGCAAATGTTTTATCCAATACTGTACATGTTGACATTACAAATAATAGTATTAAACTAAAAAATTAAAATGACTTTAATACTCTTTATCATCTATGACAAGTTGAGCAGGTAAACGATTTAATTTGCAGTTTTTAATCCCAATTATTTCTTTTATGATATCACAAGTTTTTTAAATATCACCATTTGAGTTTTTTATTTTTTTAGTTTTTATTTGAGTAAGTTTTTCTTTGTATTTTTTAAAATTTTTTGAAACAAGTTTTTATATTGTTTGTATACATTTAGCTCTATTTTTTAAATATCTGGTATAAAATTTTTTTTTTTTTTTTTTTTTGAGGATTTTTAATACCTTTTGTGTTTTTGACATTTTAAATATTTTTCTTTTATCTATTTTAATTTAATTGGGAAGTGCATATTATAGTTTTTTAGGAAAATTTTTTCAAAGTTATTATTAGCAGAGTTAGTGTTTACCGATAAATGACTTACCGATAAATAAACAAACTATGTACTGCTCCTAAAATATTAATTTCGCATTTTTAATCAATTTTAATGTTCATACAAAAGCATACTTTGGAATAAAAATTTGATGTTAATAGGTAATGAGGGGGAGGGGGTGATGTTAGACTATGGGGTAAGATGGGTTTAATCAACAACAACTGTTTTCCATTTAGATGATCATTGCAACGATCAGGGTCGTCCCGAGGAGATTTTTGTGGGGGAGAATGGAGGGGGGGTGACGTACCTGTTTTATGCCGACTATAGCCTATATAAAGAGTTTTCCCGATTAACCTAACTAAAAAAAAGTCTTCGTTGGCCGATTGCCAACATACGATCCAATTTTACCGACTCCAGTGTCCAATTCGCCGACTAATAAAATTCGTAGGGAAAAGGGGGGGGGGGGGAGGGGAGGGGAGAGAGGCTAGACACCCTAGCTCCTCGGGACGGCCTTGGCAACGATATACCTTTTGTTGAAACAAGTAAAAAGCGCAGCGTAACAGTTTTGAAGAACAGCACATTAAATTCTTATTGTAAAAACATGTTTTTGTAAAATGATGAAACTAATATATATAACATAAATAACTTTAAGCAAATTTTTAATCGAGTTCCCGCTTTAAACTCTTTTTTAAATAAATTTCTTAAATTTGAATATCAATTACTCAATCTGAAGAATTACCATGTAATTTATTTTGTATAGACAAGTGATAAAAAAAAAACGTAAAATTCAAGCGTCAAAAAAGCTAATTATCAAGCATTCTTTAGCAAATATAATAGCAAGCTATTATCAGCATTCTTTGCAAAACAGCTAACAGAGAAAAAATATATATTTTATATTTCTAAATATTTTAATTTCTAAAACATCTATTAAAGTACAGTTTAAACTATTAAAAAAATAATTTTAAAATATATTGTTTTGCTTTACATATTTTTTGCTTAATATTAAACAGCTAAAAGTAGGCTTGGATTACCCCACCCGACCCTATGTTTTATATTTTTGTAAGTCTAATTTTTTGAATATATTTTGCAATAAATAGAGTTTTTTGATTTCTTTTTTGACATTAATTTTTAAAAATAATTTAGCTAGGTATGTATCAAAAAAATTCATCGAAACTCGTTTCTAAAAAAAAAGTTTTGTCTATATTATTAAAAATTATAATGTTCGTTAAATACTCGAGAAAGGATAGAGGAAAGAGGTTAACATCTTTTTCCCTCCCTCTCTCACACATATAAAAAATCAAAAATATATTTTTATTGACAACTGAATATATATATATATATATATATATATATATATATATATATATATATATATATATATATATATATATATATATATATATATATATATTATATATATATATATAACTTAATATTGATAATATATATATATATATAACTTAATGTACTTATTATTTATTGACAACTAATTTGGTATTACAAATTTTTTATAGAACAATTTCCTTTAATTATTTCTCAAATAATAATGATTTATTTGTGTTGAAGATCATTTTTAGATACACCTTCTTTACCAATCTCATGCTTCAGCACTTGTAAAAGGGTTTGAGAACTTTCCAAAATCTAAAAAAATTTAAATAATTGAGATCAAATATTCAACGTTGATCAAATATTTCAAACAGACTAATTTTGCCTTGTTTCTCAAAATTACTTGATCGATTTTTCTTAAAATTACTTAAGCGTTTTTTTCTCAAAATTACTTGAGCGTATAACTTACAATAGTTTCTACAATTATCTAAAAAAGAACGAAAAGCTGTTTGGTTTCAATATAAAAAACATTCAACTGAACACGTCATAGTCGAGCTAGTCAAGGAGATATCTGACGCTCTAAAAAACAATTATTAAACACTAAGAATTTTCATTGATCTGTCTAAAGCCTTTGATACAGTAAACCATGATATATTGCCAATTAAACTTGAAAACCATGGTATTAAAAACAATAATTTACTTTGAAAAAGTTCAAAGACTACCTAACAGAAAACAATTCATTTGCTATGATTCAAAAGTAACATGTAAACTCAATAATTTGTGGGGTTCCTCGGGAATTTTTTTCAAGCTTTATTTTAAGGCAATTATTGTTTCTACTGTAGATAAATAATCTATATTTATCATCATATCTTATAAATCCATTTGCAGATGATTCCAATATTTTTAATTCACACAAATATATTAAATTACTTTTTAAACGCGTTAATGAACAATTAGTAAAAATTGGTTTCTGAGTAACAAACTTTCTATGAATGCTGAAAAAACTAAATTTATATTATTACATAAATCAAATAAAACTAAATTTATATTATTACATAAATCAAATAAAACTAAATTTATATTATTACATAAATCAAATAAAATTGATAACACCTCATTGAAATTACGAAATCTTATTATGAACAAAACTATTATTAAAAGGAAATCTTTACTAATCTTTTTAGGTGTGGAGTTGGATGAAAATATTTAATTGGGAAGTGGTACAGTTCTTTAACTAAGTTCTTAAACTAAGTTTAATGGTTCTGATGTTGGCTGATTGTGAAGTTTCCTTAATTCTGTAATAGCTCTTATTTTATATATTGAGTTTGTTACAACTTATAGTTAGGACTGCAAAGCTCAATGCTTGGGTGTACTAAATGCTCAATGAAATTAAATCCAAAATTTGAAATTAAAATTAACTACCATTAAATAATTTTCTTGTATAATTGTATTCAAAAAAACTAAAATTGCATTATATAATAGCATTCTCTCTATGGACAATTCTAAAAATTCTACTTAAAAGGTATGTAAAATGTATTTTTTTAAATCTTCATCTTATTATATATTAAAATGTTATTATGTTGTATTATGTTAAATACGTTTAATTTTCTATATAATGGAACTTTTATATAAAAAGTCTAGAAAAAAAAATCAAAAAATATTAGAATGATATACAGAGCTGAACCATTTCTTAATATCTTATCACTAAAATGTTTATACTTTGCTTTTATTCATAGTTATTTAACTTACTGTAACATCGCTTGGACAAGTACTAATCATACGAAACTAAAAAAGCTTTACATTAAATAAAAGCATGAATATTGAATTGCATTTGGAGCTAAGAGAGAAGAAAACCTCTCCTGTGTTATGACTATTACTTGGAGCATTAAATATTTATAAAATCAATTTACATCAAATTTTAGTTTTTATGTATAAAACTAAGCTGGAATTGTTGTGAAAAATATTTGAATCCTATTTTAGTGAAATCTGTTATAAATACACTAGATTATCGGAGAACAACTTTGTTCCAAAATATAGTTTGAAATTGAGGCCTATCTATGGAAAACATTTTCAGACAAAGTTAAAAAAAAGTAAAAGAATTTCCGTTAAAATTTATCAACGGTAATTTTCCGTTAACGGCCACTAACTTATTTTAACGGACGTTAAACTCTGTTAATTAAAAAATACAACAAAACAGATATGTATGTTTTTTAAATGCAAACAAAGTAATATTGATAATTAAACCAGTTGCAAATCAGATAATATGTATATTCATAAAAACAAACAAAATAATATCAAAACACCTAGACAGTCTTTCGTAAAAAAATAAAAGCTATCACTCTTTTTCATTTACAGAATCGTTAATTTTCCAGTTTTTCACTTTGATATTCTCAAAGTTCTTATGGCAAAACACTAATTGTTTTATTGTGTCAGTGCAAAGCATTTTCCTGATACAAGTTACGATATTTCATGACAATTTGAAAACCCTCTCAGATTGGGTACTAGATGCAGGAATGCAAAAAAATGGATCTGGAAATTTTAGGAAATTTTTGGGAAGAACCTTTGAATTGTATTTCCACCAGGTTAAAACGTTTGTGTTGCTTCTGGTGACATTTTTTGGCTTTGAGAAAAAGAGGATATTTCTTCAAATCACCCAATGCAATATTTTTGACATGTGACATACTAGCAACACAAAAATCAATTGGCATAAACTAAAAATCTTTTGTGCTTGCTATAGAAATAACTTTTCCAAAGTTGGGTTATAGATGGCTACTATTTGTTTTTTGGTTGATTCAAAACACTAAAAAAATAGCAAACATTGTATTACTTTTTAGGTTTTTATATTAAAATTTAAACTTACTTCAAATTTTTCTAGGTCCTTGATAATATGGGTGTAGACAATGTGCAATTCTGTTATTAAAATCTTCTGAACCACATTTTGGAAATTTATTTTCAATTTCAGTAAGCAAGGGCTCAGCATTTACTGTTAGTAAATGCTGCTACAACATTTTTGAATCATAGGAATGTTATCAAATGAAAGCATATCACTCATTTTTAAAATTTTATCAAGATCAGTAAAAGTTGATTCAATATAACCAAGTATCTAGCATTAAATTTTAATTTTTAAGGTAACTCTGAGGTAACTTCTGAGTCTCTAATAGATTCTAGAGCTGGTCTCAATATCAATATTGATTCCACCAGTATGCTGTAAATGTTACATCTCATTTTGACGGGAGCAATTACTTTAACATAAGGCACTATAAAAAAGGGAAATATCATATTATTTTACAATTAATTAATTGAGCTCGACACTTTCTTACTCTGGATTCTATTCTCTATCTCTATAAATCTCAAATCCGGCCTTGTATGGAATACTGTTGCCATATCTGTGGTTGATCTTCTAATGATACCCCTTCTCTTGACAAGGTGCGAAAATGCATTAGTTGAACTCTTGCAGCCAACCTTTAACCATTTGGACTCTTGCAGCCAACCTTCAATCACATTGTCGTAATGTTGCTTCTCTTTCTCTTTTCTACAAATACTATAATGGGCACTCCTCTAAAGAGCTTGCCATCTACTAAAATTCATTCTTGTGTTACTTGTCATTCAATTAAATCCCATCCTTTTTCTGTGACTGTTTCTAAGTGCTCCAAAAACTCTTTTTCCTTTTTTTTCCCTTGAACATCAGTCTTTGAAATTCGCTTCCTTCATCTTGCTTTCCTAATTCATATAATTTGCAATCTTTCAAGTTGTTTGTCAATCGTTATCTTGCTCTTCAATCTTCATCTTTTTTCTTCCAGTAACTTCCAACTCTAATAAGTGGTTGCTTGCAGCATTGGTAAAAGCGATGATGTTAAAAAAAAAAAATATTATGAATAGAAATTTAGGCACTAAGTAAGTTGTTTTGTGCAGATGTCAAGAGCATCTTGAATTTCTTTCAAATAAATTTTGTTTCATTGTTTTTAATGCTCTATTTAAACAAGTATTAACCGTCGTAAGACAAATTAGCATAAGTTACATACTTTGAAAGCATCATTGCTTTTAACATGTTACTTACAGAACATGAACAGAACAGAACATGTTTTTGGCATTTTACATACAATAACGTATAAAATACATACAATATACGTATAAATTACATACAATAAAGTAATAATCTTATAAATTACATACAATAAAGAAATGTATAAAAAAAATGTCATAAACACATTTATAGTTAATTTGCTTTATTTATTATAATAAAAAAATGAAATTTTTTACTTATATAAAAAATTTTTTTTTACTTATATAAAATTTTCAAAACCTTTATTACGATAATCAAACTGTATGTTTTGAAAATTTTTTTGCTCCTCGTCTTTCATTTAATCAAATGTCAATTAAATGAAACTTTTTTTAAAACTACTTAAAAACAATTTAAATATAAAACTAATGAAATTAACGTAAATTAACAAAAAATTATGGGTCCAAGAAAAAATTTTAACTGAAAGTTTGTTAAAATTTGGGTGTAACATAATGGGTAAAACATAAAATGTGTTAACGTTAACGGGCGGAAAAATCAAATGCCAATGCTTAATTAAAACATATATTAAACAATACGATATTATCTTCTAGTTTATATATTTACATCTTAGTAATAAAATATTTGTAAATTAAAATTTTATAAAATATAGATTATCCATATTTTAAAATTCTAAATTTTTTTTTTGTTTAAAATATCCAGAAAAAATTCGCAATCTAATTTTCATAATTTTTCTCTTAATTTTGCTTTTACCTGAAATATTTCAAACTTTTCTTAATTTCATATAAAAAAGTTTAAAAAATAAATATATAACAAAAAATAAATATATAACAAAAAAATAAATATATTACAAATATATATACATATATACATATATACATATACATATATAAATATACATATATACATATATACATATACATATATAAATATACATATATACATATACATATATACATATACATATATATATATATATATATATATATTATATATATATATATATATATATATATATATATATATATATATATATATATATATATATATATATATATATATATATATATATATATATATATATATATATATATATATATATAATTTACAAAAATAAATATATTACAAAAAATAAATATTACAAAAAAATAAATATATTACAAGAATATATAACTAAACTTGTATTATTGTATGTATTTGATTTGTTTTGGATTTCCGTAAAAACTAAAAGTTGAAAAATATACCCAGAATTCTGAAAATATCCGGAAAAAGATAGTCCCTGATAAATAATGGTGCTCAAATAAGACATTAAGTTTTCTTCTTGCTCCAGTTATTTATTTTATTGTACAAGTATTTATATGAAAATTGTATTCATAGTATAAGGCAAAATAAACAATAAAAAATAAATAAAAAAATGAAGCAAAAACCAAAATACAGAAAAAAAAAATTCTAAAAAAAAACACAAAAAGATCATTTGTTCAAAAAAAAATTCTAAAAATTCTAAATATATCTGTAACTTTTTTGGTTCTTTTTTGTATTTTGTTTTGAGGAAAATTTTTGATTAAGGTTTCATCATATGCTTTCTCAAACTAAAAGAATCAACTAAACCATTTGATAATATTGCCAGAATTACCAATATTTATTATTATAGAAATACTCAATTTATTATTGAATATTCATCACTCTATCTTCCAGAGTCACTTATGTCTACCACAGTGAGTTAGCGCACTGAGTATCTCTTTGATGTAAAGAATCTAGGTTTTAGGGCCAACCTTTCACCTGGACTGACTGGTTCTCTCATGATTGTTTCTCTTTGTTTCATAATGCTACCATTTCAAAGATTTCTTCATGAGTTGTTGGAGATTATTTTAAAAAATATTTCTGGTCAAACATTAATCTTGTACTAATAAAACTTTCATTTCTGCAAAAGTTGGAGACTTATAAAAATACTTAAAAAGATATTCCTGGTCAAACATTAATAAAACTTTATGCAAGAGTTAGGCATAAACTTTTGAAAAAATAAATTAAAAATTTTTTAAATATTTCTTTACCCAAAATCATTTCTTATAGTTTTTTTTATTGCGAAAAGAAAAAAAAGAATCAGAAAAAATATTCTAAAAAGCACACTAGAAGTTATAGTGGTTAAAATAATAATTTGCCAAAAAATTTGTATTACAAAATAATTTGCTTGCTGGCTGTACAAAAGGACAGTCCCTAAGTATGACAGTCTGCAATTAAGTATGACAGCGTGGAATTAAGTATGACAGTCTGCAGTTAAGTATGACAGTTTACAGTTAAATATGACAGTCTGCATTCAAGTATGACAGTCTACAGTTACGTATGACAATCAACATTTAAGTACGACAGTCTGCAATTAAGTACGACAGTCTACAGTTAAGTATGAGAGCCCGCAGTTAAGTATGACAGTCTGCAGGTAAGTATGACACTATTGTGCAAAACTGAAATCCCCTGGATTTTGAAGCCTTGCAGTTGTTTTGTTTTTCTATATTGTTTTTATTAATTTTATTTAAAAATTTTATTTTATTTTTTTATACTTTTATCTTTATTTTTACAATAATATTTCTATTATAATAGTCACTCATTTTGTTATTATTCTTATATTCTAATTGTTATTAATATTATTATCTCACATTTTTTTACATTACTAATATTGTTCTGTTATTGCTAGTTGTTACACTATACTATTTTTTTTTAATTATTTGAGTGTGAAACTATTTTATTCAGGGTTCTCACTATTAAAACTAAGGCTAAAATTAAGGATTATTTAAGGAGATTTGGTCGCAAACAACATTTTTTTGAAAGAAAAAATTAGGATAATTAAAGAGAAAACGATTACATTAAAAACATAATCTTATTTTTTCAATAAATTTTAAATATAAACAGAGAAATTATTTTTACTTTATATATATATACATATATATATATATATATATATATATATATATATATATATATATATATATATATACACATATACATATATATATATACATATACATATATATATATATACATATATATATATATACATATTTATATATATATATATATATATATATATATATATATATATATATATATATATATATATAAATATATATATATATATTAATATATATAATAACAAAAATAGGTTTGAAAATATATATATATATATATATATATATATATATATATATATATATATATATATATATATATTATTAATATATATAATAACAAAAATAGGTTTGAAAACAATCAAAAACCTATATATTATCTTCTTTATTAACAAGTATAATCCATTCACTTTAAAAAAATTTTCTAGATGATTAAAAAAAAAATAAGAAGAAATTAAGGAGAACAGTCAAATTTTAACTTTTTTAAAGGTTATTTAAGGACATTTAAGAAGTTTTTATTTTTAAAGGATATTTAAGGTTTTTAGGAAGGTGTGGGAACCCTGTTATTATAAAACTAAATGATAAAAAACAAAATATTTTTTTGTATTATTATTGTAACCATTATTATTTTCATCATTATAATTAAGCATTTATATATTAGTAATTGTATGGGTTTGCAACATTTGATTAGCAAACTGACTTCCACAGCTCTGCACCACCAAATCATAGCATATCATTTGCAAAATATATATTTTGAAAAAATGATAATAATAAAAAAAAAAGATGTCTATTAAAGTTACCTTCATATAAGCAGCTTCAGTTTCAGAAATAGTTTTGTCATATTCGCTTTGAGCAGCATATTTTTTTGAAAGACTTTCTGTAACTTTTGCAAGTCGATCAGTGAGTATACAAATATCAATTTCAATTTTACTTTTTTCCTCTTCTTCAATTGTTATTTGATGGTGTAGTTCATCTCGCTTTGTACACAAATCTTCAATACCTATTACCAAAAACATTACTCTCAAAAATTGATAAATTTTCATTAAAGATAGTTGTAACAACAATTAAAAGAGGGTTGCAACAACAATTGATAAAAGGTAATATGTAACACAAAAGAAAAGTTTTACAGGTGCCCTCCTCAACTTTAGGAAGGTATATTAAAAAATAAATTTACTAGTTATAAGTCAAAAATTTTTTATTTTTTACAAACCATAACTTCTGGTTATGGTTTGTAAAAAAAAATTTCAGGCATCAAGATGACTCTGTCAATCTTGTTCTAAATATTTTTAAAATAATCCTTTGAGCAAAACACATTTAAAATAGTTGCGAGGCCATTCGAGACCTTTTTGACAGCAATTAACATATTGATCCAAAACAAGTTATGTTTATTTTATATATTACATTACAAAACAAGTTTTTATTTAACTAAATTTACTAAAACAAAATATCAAGATATAAACAAAATACTTATTTTTATAACAAAAGGGCTTTTCCTGTTGAAATGATTTAATTTATCCCTAATTTGGAATTTCCTTTTAAAAAATTTTTTATTTTGGTGATTATAATAAAACATCAGCGCTATAGTTTATGAAGCACTTTATTACGTCACTGGAGACTAATAACAAATTAAAATTTATGAAACTTTTCTTAAAAAACTACTTTTATTATTTACAAAAAAATACATATATATTATTTTTGGTTTTTAGATTATAAAACGATTTGTTTTTAAAAAATATCTGTTTAATGTTTTAATTTTTCTTTTTGTATTAAATTGGTAGTTATTAAGGTGCTTTAAAACATGCTGCAACTAACAATCTTGTTGCAGGCCAGCATTGAATTTCAAAAAGATTTAACTTACTGCAGACCAGCATTGAATTTCAAGTTTTTGCATCCAAAATTAGTACTAGCTTTTCAAAATTTACTTTTAGAATAAAATTCTAAAATTTTTAAAAATAAGATTTTTTTAAAAGTTACAACCTATTTTTCAAAACTTCCAAAGATTAGGAATAAGATTAGAACCTTAATTACTAACGATCATTTTCATCCTCATCAACCTCAAAGAGCAAAGTCATTTTCATTATCTTTGTCATTAGAATTCATTATTACTTTTAACTTTTTTTCTAATATAAATTACATTAACTATGTGCTGCATGTGCGAAACAAAATTGATGTTCAGCAAGAATATTTCCTAATTTATTCATAGTAAAAGCACGATCATCAAATACTATTATGCAAATTATATCAATAGACTTACATCACTTATGTCTGAAGCAATCATTTGAATTGTGCAAAGCTATTATTCTCTCTGATTCAAAATAGATAAAAAAAAAAATGCTCATTTTGTAAAAATGCAATCCAATGATGTTAAAGTACAGAATTTATAACAGCATTGGTGATTTATTAACAGCCTAAGTATTAATAGTAGTAGTAGTAGTAGTAGTAGTAGTAGCAGTAGTAGTAGTAGTAGTAGTAGTAGTAGTAGTAGTAGTAGTAGTAGTAGTAGTAGTAGTAGTAGTAGTAGTAGTAGTAGTAGTAGTAGTAGTAGTAGTAGTAGTAGTAGTACTAGTAGTAGCAGTATATATATATATATACATATAAGGGGTCAAAATAGGAGTCAAACATTGCCACCCCTCAAACCATTTTTGAGATTTGTTTGAGGAGGACAACCAATCATTGTTCATTTCAGTAAAAATAAACAATGGTGGTTTGCCCTTTTCAAACAGGTATCAAAAATGGTCTGGGGGCCAATGATGTCCAACACTTATATAAACTCCTGCACATATATAGTCTTTTCAGGAGACGCAAGAGGTCACACACCTTTTATGACCATGCATATAATATTTTGTTTTAACAACTTGGTTACAGCTCCTTGCATGTTTTAAGTTCGCATATTTAAAAAATGCACTAAATAAACAAAAGTAAATTTAAACAAAAATTTAAAAAAAAAAAAAACTACAAAAGAAAAAAAAAAAAAAAAAATGCATAAATTTAATATATAACTTTATTTTAATTTAAAAGTGTTTCACTAAAAATTCATGCATAATTACTTAGAAACTTTAACTCAAAAATTATATAAAAATTTTAAACTTTGGTATTTTCTAATGTCTACAAAGCAAATAAAACATTAAAAAAAAATTATTCAATACCGATATAACAGTTGCGCCTCTAAAATGGCACAATTAACCAACCTAAGGGCTACATCAACATGGCGATAAAGAAAAAATTGTTAACCAAATTATTTAAAATTACTAAATTATTTTAAAAATTATTTTTTGTTAAATTAATAAAATTTATTAATAATAATAATTTAAGTTTAAATTAAACTATTAATTGAAACGCTTTTAGACTAAATTATTTAAGTTTGAACTAATAATTAAGATGCATCTAAATTAAAAATATTAGTTTCATGCTTTTATTTTCTCTGGTTTATCCTTTATTTATTTTATCATTTGTTAAGTTAATTTCTCTTTGCAGTTTATGGTTTGTTTATTTTTAATTTTCTTTTTAAATTAGTTTGGTTTTTTCAGCGCATTTTTTACATTACGGATGTACTGGAACTCCATTCAGGCTAGAATTTGTGATTTAATGTTCATTCTGGTTCTGGCCGGAATTAGGGTAATTCTAGCAGGAATGGTGGAGTTTTTTTTTTTACCTTAAATTTTTCAAATCTGTGTAAATTAAATCATAAAATATATGTCAAACAAGTTTGTTATTGCTTAAAGATAATATTGCTTTGCTCATATTTAAATATGTTTATAGTGTATAATAAACAAAGGTTATCTATTAAATCGTTGGATCTTTGGATAATATGTTTTGTAAAACCTTTTGTTTACACCTCTGTGTTTTTTTCACCTCTAGAGACTCATTAGAGACTAAAAAGAAACTGCCATTATAATTTATTATTTTTTCATTTAACATTGTGTATGGAATAACTATGAACTATAGGTAAAAAAAGTTTTAAATAAACCCAATACAATTTTGTTTGCAATAATATATTATGTAACCAATAAAATTTTAAATCCAAACTTTATATGTCTGTTAAACTAAAACTTATATTTCAAAAATATGATTATTACAGTATTTAACTAGACTCACTGAAGAATAAAGATATATGCAATTAAAAATTTATACATGACTTGATGGAGCCTTGTATTCTTGGTGAGGTTTTCTGGAAATTTAGGAATACCATGATGCAAAAATAAGAGTTATTATCCAATTTTGAATGAAAAAATAGCTCTTTTTTCATCAAAAATATTACCTGGCTATGAGAAAAGTATCTCTGAATAGACAGGTGAAGCAGATGCAGATAATAGTTTTTTTGCTATAAAGTATATATGGCGATATGGTGTAAATTTACTTTTTACCATTTCACTATTTTAACAGCTTTTTTGTTTTTGAAATTATTTAATTCTTTTCCTGTCATAAAACTATCTATTTCTTTTTTAATTTTTTTAAGGATTGTCCATAAATTATGCAACGCAAAATATATTTAAAAAACGGAAGTAGGAGATATTAAGCTCTTTAACGCTGCAATTTTATTAAACTTAATGGCGTATTTTGATTTTATATTTAAATTAAGACTCTGCAAGGAAAAACTTTAAACATATTTTATAAAATTCTTCCTAAATAATAACTTAAAAGTTTTATTGTTTCAACAAAAATACTATTTGATTTTTATTTTTTTTATAATTTTTTTTTTTTAAAGATTTAGAGATAAAGTAATGGAAATAAATTTACAAAAAATAAAAATTCGTTGACAGGCCTTGTTAAATGTTGCGCAGCTTCCTTTTTTCGTAAAAGCCAAATACCTTCAGTTAAGTGAAATTCTTTTGTAGAAAATAAACGTCGAAAGCCAGATAGGCTAAAAAAAATTTTAATAGGGGAAGTGGGGGCATAACCAAACCCGTAACATTTAGATTGATGTTATATGAAAATAAAGGCGAAACGTGTCTCTTCAACAGTTTATTTCAATAACCACATTATTAAGCTATAAACTGCTGCAGTTATAAAAAAAATAAAACGGTTTTTGAAAATATTATTACACAAAAATGCATGATTCAGATACAAATCAAGATCACATTTTGTTAGTAACTGATTCTGAACGTGATCTTGGTGTCATAATTCAATCAAATCTAAAATGGGATTTGCATATTAATGCAGCAGTTTGTAAAGCTAATTCAGTCCTGGGTTTGATTCGTCGAACTTTCAAAAACTTAGATGTAAATGTGGTTAAAAAATTATATATAACATTTGTGCGTCCACATCTTGAATATGCTATGCAAGTTTGGTGTCCCTATCTGAAACAAGATATTGATAAAATCAAAAAGATTCAAAGAAGAGCAACTAAACTCATATCATCACTCAAAAAATCTTTTTACATAAAATGATTAAAAATGATGAATTTAACAACTTTACAAGAACGAAGGCTGCGAGGTGATTTAATCCAACAATAAAAAATTGAGCACAATTAAGATATTATAAATTGGGTTCACAAAAATGAAAGTTTTAAACATGCTCTTAACCTACGTCAGCACAAATACACTTGGAATAAATTATTTTGTAAAAGCAAGTGTAGATTTAATTTTTTTTTCAACAGAATAATTAATTCATGGAACAGTTTGAAAAAAAAACGGTTTTGCTCTCATTGTGAGGCACAACTTCGCCCTCACAAAAATCATTAAAGGTACACTTTTTATAGTACATTTTTTTTTTAAATTAAAAAACGCACAATTATATACCTCCAATATAAAATAATATAATAATCATCAGATATACATAAATATAACAAGATATTGATTTATGCTCTTAGCTTTATATTTTAATCAAAAACTCATTTATAAAAACTAATTTAAAAAATTCGAAATCTAATTTCCAACATCTCAAAACAAAACTATTTCTATTCCAGTTTTTTCATGAACACTTTTAAGTGTGATAATTTTATATATTGATATTCATAATCAATTAACTTTGATAAATATCAAAAACATGTGGTTATGCCTC